TTCTTTCATCTTGCATGATAGCCCTTCTTCACCATGAATTTTTCAAATCTCTTCACAAAGAGAGCCATCTTCTCATCATCAAACTCATCAAAGCTTGAGTCTTTATCTTTACTTGATGATTCTTGCTTTGCCTTGCCCTTAGATGATGTGGCCTTGAATGCCACACTATTCTTCTTCTCATCTTTCTTCTCTTTCTTCTCTTCCTTCTCAACATCATCTCTATAAGTGTCATCACATCTCCCAACACTTAGTTTGGTGTCATGGTGTCCAAACCACTCCTCACTAGAATATTAACCAATGTGCCAAATCTTGAGGGTAGACATCTCAAGAACTTATGAGAAAATTCCTTGTCCTTCACTTCTTCACCAAGTGCTTTGAGATCATTGACAAGTACTTGTAGCCTATGGAACATCTCCGGCACACTCTTATCTTTCTTCATCTTAAAGCTTGCAAACTTTTCTTTGAGAATATATGCCTTGGCACCCTTCACCGCTTGTGTGCCCTCAAATAATTCCTCCAACTTCTTCTATGCCTCATGAGCCATCTCAATATTCTTGATTTGCTCAAATGTTCTCTCATCCATGGCATCATGAATGGCACTAAGAGCAATATCATTGTTTTAGAGTAGCACTTCTTCGCCCGTGGAGGGAGCTTCCAGATTTGCTACCTCAGTCTTGGTCTCCATCGCCTTCCACACCTTTCTATTGATTGACTTGATATAGGTGGTCATCTTCGCCTTCCAATATGGATAATTTGACAAATCAAATTGGGGTGGCTTCTTGGTGTTGTTGATTTGAGCTATTTTGACATCGAAGGTTGTTAAGCCTCAAATCACGGTGATCATGGCTCCGATACCACTTAAAAGTCCTAATGGCTAGAGGGGACGATGAATAGCCTATAAAATTTCTACAACAACACTTAAGCCAAGAGGTTAGACAATTATGAAGCGAAGTAAGTGTTGCGCTAGCCTACTCAAAATGCAAGCCTCATATCCACAATGCAAGTTATCTATGATCTCTATAACACGCATGAGGCTAAGTCACTACTACTAAGTTAGTGAACTCTCAAAGACTAACTAAAGAGCCTCACCAACCACTAGACAAGACACAAGCTAGCTCTCAAAACTAATTACACTAAAGAGCTTAGCTACACTAAGAAAGTAAGTGCACAAGAGAGGTAGTGAGTTATACCACCGTGGCAAGTGATAAATCACAATATATCAATGAATACCAAAGAAATCCTTGGAGACAAGATGACACAATGATTTTTCACCGAGGTTCACTTGCTTGCCAACAAGCTGGTCTCCGTTGTGGTGATTCACTCACTTAGAGGTTTACGCGCTACTAGGCATCACACGCCTAACCCACAATCATGTGCCGCAAAACCAACACAATATAAGGATCCACAAGCCATGAGGAATCCACTAGAGTACCTTTTGGCTCTCCACTGGGTAAAGGTCAAGAACCCCTCACAATCACCACGATCGGAGCTAAAGACAAGCACCACCCTCTGCCCGATGATCCTCACTACACCAAGCTGTCTAGGTGGCGGCAACCACCAAGAGAAACAAAGCAAATCCCATAGGAAAACACAATCACCAAGTACATCTAGATGTAAAAACTCAAGCAATGCACTTGGATTCACTCCCAATCTCACAAAGATGATGAATCCATGATGTAGATGAATTAGAGGGCTTTGCCTTATCTCACTAGGTTGCTATGTCAATGAAAATGGCCAAGAGGGAGAGCAAGAGCTAGCCAAGCACCTTTTATAGAGAGGCCAAAGGAATAGAGCCATTGGCCCCTGCTGCCTGCCTCCACGAGGCGACCGAACGCACGACGCCCAGCGTCTGATCCCTTGATTTATGCCATGTGTCCCTTGGTTTGACCAGTGCCGTTCATCCTCAACGGCTAGCTAGCCACACGCGCGTCACTTAAGTGATGACCGGATGCACAAGAAATAGGACCGGACGCACCGATGCTAGCCCTACTCGCGTGCACGCCCACGCCACCACCCAATGGCCGGATGCGCCGCTACCCGCGGGAACCCAGCGTCAGATCGTTTCTAGTAAGTACCTAGAGGCAATGTTTGCCGACCGAACGTGTTAGGTCACGCATGACCAGACACGCCGGTGAGTCCGATCCTCTCTACCTCGCTTAGATGCTCACGTCAGTGTACGTCATCGCATGATTGGACGCATTTGGTCCTTCACGTGGACCTAAGTCCGGTCACTTGTTCAAGCGCACCCTTCTCTGCGTGCCACTGACCGAATGCTGCTGGCCGAGTCCGGTCAATGCTGAGGCAGCGTCCGGTCACCTTAGAATAGCTCCTCCACTTCTCAAACTTCACCACCCTTGCTCAAATATGCTAACCACCAAGTGTATCACCTTGTGCACATGTGTTAGCATATTTTCACACACATTTTCAAGGGTGTTAGCACTCACTAGAATCTAAATGCATATGCAATGAGTTAGAACATCTAGTGGCACTTTGATTACCTCAATCCGATATGAGTTTCATCCCTCTTAATAGTACGACTATCTATCATAAATGTGATCACACTCACTAAGTGTTTCGATCACCAATACAAAGAGCTCCTATGGTTATCACCTTTGCCTTAAGCTTTTTGTTTTTCTCTTTCTTCTTTTCCAAGCCCGAGCATCTTGATCATCACCATGGTCATCACCATCATCATGATCTTCACAATTTGCTCTACCACTTGGAATGTGCTATCCTATCTCATGATCACTTAGAACAAAGGATTAGCACCTAGGGTTTCATCAATTCACCAAAACCAAACTAGAGCTTTCACCCGTGGCCAATGGTGCCACTGCCGCACTCTTCCCGTTGCTGGCTGTGTGAGCGTCGTCCTCTTCCCCTTGACTAGCGGTGCGAGCGCTGCCCTCTCCGCTCTGCGATGGCCGCCTCCATCTGCGCCCTGCCATGGCAGTCGTCGAGGGGTCAGCTCCTCCTCCATGGCTTCGGTGGCAGCTCCTCCTCCATCTCCGCCCGAGCTGTGCCTTGCCATGGCCGTCGTCGATGGGCCAGCTCCTCCTCCTCCTCCATCTCCATCCCCATGGCTTCCGTCGAGATTCGCCCGAGATGCACCCTGCCATGGCCGCCATTGTGGGGTCCAACTCCTCCTCCATCTCCGCCCCATGGCTTCCCGTTGAGATCTGCCCGTGATGCGCCCTGCCATGGCCGCCGTCGAGGGGGGCAGCTCCACCTCCTCCATCTCCACCCCCATGGCTTCCATCGAGCTCGGCCTATGATTTTCAATTCAATGGTTCTGCATCCAAACAGGAAATGTATTTGGGCAACTTCATAGGATTCAATTCAATGGCCATCCAAACAACAGTATTTGAATTGGGGCCATTTCAATACCATGGCTATTTTGGTATTGAACCCAATTCAGTTCCAGCTCCCCCAATATCTACATCAAACAGACTCTAAAAGTTTTTTAGGGTGAATCGGTCTACCCATAGAAAAACTTATGCTGGTTAATAAAGTTCACGGATGAAATATGTCGGTATGGAACTAAAATAATAAACGGAGTAACATGGATTATAAGGAAATGATAGAAGATATGTAATAATATATAATAACTACAAAATGCGAATCTTATTATTGCTAGTTGAAGGTTCCTTTTGCCCTCCATATTAATCCTCACTAGACAAACTACAACAAAAATTAAATAGTAGAAATCTCCCCACCCCCAAAAAAGAGAGAGAATCCAATAGAGAAATCTATAACAAAAGTAAACTTAATGTTGAATTGAGCCCTATTTTAGTTCATTAACCGATCCATGTGTTGGCAAGTGTGGAAGACAATGCGTACAAAAAGGAATTGCATTAGAAATGATACTAGTGAACTCTCACCTAAGATCATAAAAGCTACTACCCCACTAGAAGGGCCCTTGTTTTTGGTTCCGCTGTGGGCCACCAAAATGTTAGGATTGTCCCTGATTAGCTGCATAAATGTATTTTTTGTTTCAATTTTGGTTAAGCAAGTTGCTAATTGACCCCAAAATAATCACTCAACATACTGGGCTCTCCAATGGTACACTCCCTCCTTGAAGGTTCAGTACACTGCATTTCCTTATATTGGGTAACCAGGTGTATAGTTTGCTAAGACAAGGGCAAGTAATAATACTGTACTAGTGGTTGACTAATAGACCCACATGGTGTAATTTGCTAAATGTCTCCCGAAAGGAAAAGGTTTTCCTAATCCTTTAACTTTGCTTCAAGTCAGAATTTCCTCCCTCAACCAAAAAACCATATGTTTTTGCTAACAAAAGATGCATTAAGAACGCTAACAAAAGACACATGTATCACTATCTTATCTTTCTTTTCTTGGGAGGATATCTTTTAGATTTGGCAGTTATTGTTTTGTTGCACCTATGATTATCTTCCGTAGTTACAAGGCACCATCAAATTTTTTGTATAATGTTATTTTTCGAAATCAGAATGGGCTCGTTAATTGTTACTCCGTTGCTTCAAGTGAAGTCCAATCACTATATATGGGCCTGATATTAGGCCCTTTAGGCCCAGATTACGTCATGATCATTTGTGCTCAGCGCCTGCGCAGTCGATAAGACTACCATCTCAGCAGCAACTACCAACGACCGCCACGTGGCGATCCCCGCAAGGACACCTAATCCTCATCTCGTATAAATATTCACCTACACCCTTTGATTCCGAGATATTTCGTCTAAATTTTTCTGTTCACACAGTCCAGCGCCACCGCTTCTCCTGTTCTTCCCACGACAAAGGAGGTGGAAGGAAAAGCCTTCCCCTCGCCGGAGATGCTGCCGTCGGCGACCGGGTACACTGCCGGCGACGTCCACTCGGCACGCGAGATGTTCCATCCCTTCTACCTCTGACTTCTTACGCCCGCGGCCTGCAGAGAGTAGTTCAGTAGTTGGATACTTCATACTTGGATTGGATCGAGCTCCTTGAAGTTGAAGGTGAGCCGGCGTGGGAGGGGAAATCTGGAAAGCGATGAGCTTTAGCGCCGCAAGAGTTGCGGAGCATGTCGCTGAGGTCGAGGACGCAAGGGGGATGCCGGCAGAGGTGAGCTGGGAGATGCTTGACAAGTCGCGGTTTTTTGTACTCGGCGCCGCGCTCTTCTCTGGCGTCTCCGCGGCGCTGTACCCGGCCGTCGTCCTCAAGACGCACCTCCAGGTTGCTGCCCCACCACAGGCCGCGGCCTCGGCGGCAGCGGCGGCGATTCTCCGGCGCGACGGTCCCCGAGGGTTCTACCGTGGATTCGGTGCGTCCCTCGCGGGCACGGTGCCCGCGCGCGCGCTCTATATGGCGGCGCTCGAGGCCACCAAGAGCGCCGTGGGCTCTGCCGCGCTACGCCTCGGCGTCGCGGAACCGGCCGCCTCCGCTGCCGCCTCGGCCGCGGGCGGCGTCTCTGCTGCCGTAGCGGCGCAGGTCGTTTGGACCCCGGTCGACGTCGTCAGCCAGCGCCTCATGGTCCAGACGGCGCCCGTCGCTGCCGCCCGCTACCGCGGCGGAGCCGACGCCTTCCGGAAGATCCTACTCGCGGACGGCGTGCGCGGCCTGTACCGCGGCTTCGGTGTCTCGGTGCTGACCTACGCACCCTCCAGTGCCGCGTGGTGGGCCTCCTACGCGACGGCGCAGCGGCTCCTCTGGCGCGCCGTCGGCCCCGCGCACCACGACAGCCGTGGCGCCGCGATGGGCGTGCAGGGTGTGAGCGCCGCCGCGGCGGGAAGCGCGGCCGCGCTGGTGACGATGCCGCTGGACACCGTGAGGACGCGGCTGCAGGTTCTGGACGCTGGGGCGCAGGCGCCGACGCTCGCGGCCGCGGCGTGCGCGCTGGTTCGGGAGGGAGGATGGGCTGCTTACTACCGTGGGCTTGGGCCGAGGTGGGTGTCCATGTCGCTGTCTTCGGCCACCATGGTCACCACCTACGAGTTCTTGAAACGGCTCTCGGCCAAGGAAGGCTCCCTCTGAGCTTGGATTGAAAGTGTATCCATGGAAGTGAATGGGTGATCCTTGTACATGTCCAAGTCCAAATGCGTACATCTTGCTCTGATCTCTTGCTGGGATCTTTCTGCTGGGTTTGTCTGTCGATGGTGATGAAGACGAAAACTTTCGTAAAATAAAGATTGTTTTGTTTATACTACTTGGAAAATTGTGGTGGGTCTCGTTCCTCAATTGTGCGAATGTGGCCACTCAAGCTGCTGGTGCACATTTTATAATTTTACTGGTAATAATTTTTTTGCAGGAAAAGGCAAGTCCAGGGAAATGTTCTGTTTGGGTGCAAGAATCAAGGATGGAAGTGCTATTCGAAATCATTCGGTGCCTGTGTCAGATCAGCATTTTTTTATAAACTTTTTAAAAGTTACTAAAAGTTCTTATTGAATACTCCCCTTCCGTGCACTTGCATTTATTTTAAAATTCAAACTTTATTTGTCATTAACTAACAATTAGTTTAGTGATATAAAAATGTTTTATTGTGACATTTACATTTCTGTTTAGAAATACTTCTAATGATTAAACTTTTGTATTTTTTTATTGCGAGCAATGAGAGAAAATTTATTAGCTAGGCGTATACCAATTACAATCGACACTCAGGAAGGACCAAGCACATGTAGGAGCTTGTCCAAACCAGGACGGAGGAGAGTGTTTACTATGTCTAGCTAACATCGCTAAAGGCATTTATCATCTCTCTTTACTTGGGAACACTTCCATTCATAACTTTTTCTATTATAAATTATATATTATAAGAGAAATTAGTGGTTAAAATTTAATTTTAAAAACTATACCAAATAAAATTGTGTTTCATATGTTGTAGATCGAATTCTTAGAAGTTGATCTGGGAGTTTACAATCTGTGCTGTGTCTAGTCCACTCAGTCTTCCATCGCTTGAACTTATGAGCCAGCTTATCAGCTAGAATCTACAGTATTTTCTCTTACAACAAATCAACCAAGATCGACTTATCAGCTGGCTTTAATACCAGCCAAACAGGCCCAAGATCTTGCGATAAACTACCCACGGTTGCGTGCTAAACTGAAACAAGTAAGCCACCACACGAGGAAACACGTTGGTAAGTCACGTTTCAGATCAGGATTAGTACTACTAATACTACTACTACCACCAGATAGCAACATCTGAAAACAAAGCTGGTGCTGCCTAACAAGCAAGGACCTCTTTTTTCCCTACCTTGTGGGCCCATGCTGAGGTGTATACAATCAGTTGAAATATCTTGCCATTATTTCATCCAATTCATTCAATTTGTTGGTTTCAGCCAGCTCAAATCAGCCAGCCAACAGTGTTTTTCTATCAAAAAAACCAGCACCAGCCAGCCCAAACCAGCACCAGCACCAATCAGCGAACAGACCTATTCTGGATTAGATTTGGTCCTGGTGGTTGCTGGTAGGACCAGCAATGGCGATCCAACAGCGGTTGGTACCCCAACCTAACCAGAGTGACCACAATGGCATTTTCGTTTGTCTTATGAGCCGTACATTTTCAATGAACGAACAGTGTTTTACTCTCACAACAAATTAGTCAATAGTACTTTTTAGCCTGACTTATCAGCCAAGCGAAATGTCTGCCTTGTGCAAACACTGCATCGCGCCATTGCTTTCTGGTTCGTGAGTTTTCATCGATATAAACAGCTCCAAATGGCGATCTTGCTTGAGCTGGATGTTGCTCCACTGTCTGCTCCCCCGTGAGGAGACTTGGCATGCCTCTACTATTTCAAATATTCAATGCTCCCCCTGTTCGGCTGGTATTAAAGCCGGGTGATAAGTCGGCTGAAGCTATTTTGTTGTGAGAGAAAAATACTGTAGATTCTAGCTGATAAGTCGGCTGATAAGTTCAAACGAACAGGCCAGCTTCTGATTGGCAATAGTGATGTCCTTGGAAACATCACTTCTTATCCCATGAGGGTGAAATTTCCTTTGTCCTGTTCCGTTTCTCGAAAACTTTGACGTTTCATAGACTTCAAAACGTTAAAAAAAAATCACAGCCACTTGTCACGGATAAATATAAACCTTGTATGAAAATGGATGATGTGGTTTATAGTAGCTTAAAGACTTTGAGAATCCAATGACTGTAACTAGGTGCTCTCGTTGGTTCCACTAAGCTGCCGGCCATGAACACTAAAAGTCTACAACAGCCGGCGTTTATACGTTTTGTAGTTGTATTGTGTGTAACACCCAGAACTGGTCGAAGCATATTCTCCCTTGATGCATGGGATCCGCTACCAGAAATGTGTGGCTTTTTGACATTCTATTATGTCATAATATATGGAATTTACGTCACAATTTAAGATTTGTGACATCTAGTTGGCGAAAATCCAAACGTCAAAAAGCCACCGTCACAAAATTATTATGTGACGTGTGTATTTAATGTCACAAAGTATATGGCATTGGTGGCAGGACAAAAAATGTCATATAATTGAAATATGGCCTGTCAAGGCCCATGTACTTGGTAGACTTATATCAGGCCAAAAAAAGTCACAGCCACTTGTTCTGCATTTTTCAGCCCATTTAGCATTCTACCATTTTTATTTTCAGCCTATTTTTTCATCACAATTGGCCCACACGTTTTTTGGCCCATTTTTCTATCAGCCCAAAAATCTTTTTTCGGCCCATCAGCATAACAGGCAACGCATTTTTTTTTGCCAACCCAGAGCAAATTTTGCTGGGCTAGCCCACAAGTTTTTCTTTTTGTCTGGGCTGGCCCATACCAAATTTGCCTCGGCCAACCCAAAAACAACTCACACACTGATTAACAGATAATCAAATTTAAATCAACATATCACCATATCCACCAATTGCCAGGTCTTACATCATGATCATTACGTCCGGCCATTCATTGCCAAATTCACATCAACAGAAGTGAGTCATAAATTTCACATATTAAATTCAGATCAAAGTCTTAAGCTCGGCCTCCTACCGCTCCAACTCGAGCTTAGTCCTCAGAAATGCCTCATAGTACATCATCCTTAGCCCTAAAAACAGAACCAATGCGTTATATAAAGAGTTAAATGCACCAGACGTCCATTAACTTGTGAGAAGGTTTTGGTTAGGTCCATCAACTTCTAAAGCGGCCTTTTGGATCCATAAACTTTGTATGCCGTATCACTTAAGTCCATATCCCGCTACGCGGGCTTCTCATGCTGACGTGGCCTGCCGACATGTCCTTCTGAAGCAGCTATTGGCAATGCATTTTGTCAAACAGCTTGTGGGCAACGGCGACAGCTGACTACAGGCGCACGAGCAGGCACCGCCGTCGCTACTGCGGGCGCGCTGGCGAGCCGCTGCCGTGCCCATGCGGGCCCAACCGGCCGCTCTCTTACCAGCGCCCTCCCCCAGTCGCTGCTCTTCCTCCTCGCCGTGACGCGCCAGTGCGCGGCCGCGGTGCCCGCTGGCCGAAGTCGCCCGCGCCGCACTCCCGCGACCCCGTCGACGCCACCACCTAGAGCCCCCTCGTCCCCGTCAGGCCGCCGCACCGTCGGCTTCACCCGCAAGCTCGCGGCGGCCTCGTCACCAATCCGTGCCGATAGGAGCCTGCGAGTCGTGATCTCGTCTCGGCTTTGCAAACGCCGAAGACCGCGACGACGCAGCCACAGTCCTCCTCCAGCCGCTCTTCCTCCTCGCCATGACTCGCCGGGCAGGTCCGCCGGAGCTGGCTAGCGAAGGTGGCGTTCAGCGTCGGGTCCGGGCGCGGGAACAGCCGGTCCTCGAAGGACGTGCAGTGGCCGAGCTCGATGGTGTGGCCGCCTGACAGCGCCACCAGGTCGATCGCGTCCAGGTTGATCTTGGACAGCACGGCCAGCAGCGCCGGCACCGCGGCCGTCGGCGACGGCAGCCCGCTCAGGACGTCCTGCTGCGTCGCGAAGCTCGCGCTGTCGCGACGACCCAGGGGCACCTTGTAGGTGGGCTCGCCGAACTGCATGGATACATGCAGGCATGTGGTGGGGTGGTTAACAAAAGAAATTTTTGTGCATGCATGCACGCGTATGTAGTTGACTTACATACTTACTGACTACCCCGACGGGATGGCGCCACTGCAGGTTGTCCTCGCGCCACTGCAGCCGCCGACAGGTTCAGCATGTTAGAATTAGAGTTATATTCCATAGTGTCGTTATCTATGATTGGAGATATTCTAGGACATGCGCTTCCATGTTTAGAGTTACCTTAATTAAGTTGTACTCCGGTTAGATCTCTAATCTTGGATTATAGCGCAAGGCAATCTCCTGCGCTCCTGTACTCTTATATATACATAACATGTAACCGTGGTGAGTCAAGATAGGCAGCCACGTTTCTTCCAACTTTACATGGTAATCAGAGCCTCTCTTCCAATAGTACATCCAAAGTCGCCGACTTGAAGATCGTTGACTCAAGATCGCCACGAGCCCCTGTGATCGATCGGGGACGCGCAAGATCCGAGCCCCTGTTTCGATCAGGGGACCGACGCCGACGACCATGGCCTCCTCAAGCACGACGCCATCGCCCTTGGCAAAGTCTCCAGAAGCTCAAGCGAGACAACTATCTCCTCCGAGGGCGCAGTTCCTTCCGGCTGTTAGAGGAGCAGAGCTTATGGGGTTCCTAGATGGAACCACCCCAAAACCACCCAAGAATCTGGAAGCTGATCAAGACGATGGTAAGAAGGTGATGATCCATAATCCGAGTATAGCTCTGGATGAAGAAACGATCAGCAGGTTACGAGCTATCTGCTGAATTCTCTCTCCCCAAGCACTTGCGGCGGTGGCTTCAAACAATCACGCAGTGGCGAAGCGTGGGGAGTTCTGGAGAAGATGTTTGCTGCACAATCAAAGGCATGGGTTGCAAATCTTCGTGTCCTCCCCTGTCTACTACAAAGAAGGGTAACATGTCATCTGCTGCTTATTTTACCAAGATGTGTTCATACAAAGATGAACTTGCCGCTGTTGGGAAAGTTGTGGATGATGATGAGATGATTCACTTTGTCCTTAATG